TTAAAAAGGAGGTTTGTTACAAGTTAACTATAAAAACTATGCCACCCACAATTAACCTCCCCAATCAATTGTAAGATTTTGCCCCCTTTAGCCCTTCCGACATGACAAATTAGCCCCTACCCTTAGAATATTATTTTGTATTCGGTAGGACACTTTTGTCATTTTTAAGTTAGTCTTAGTTGGAGGGTTGAAGTGCAAACATGGTCTTTCTTGGAGAGTCTAGGGAAGAACCCTTGCTTTACAATTATTAACTTAAGAAGAAAATGTAACTTTTAGTTAATAATCCATGAGATTAACTACTACATAGTTGACTTCTTAATAAAAAGTCTGATGTGTATAATGAAAGTAATTAATAATATTGCATTTATTATTCATAAACGACATAACTACGAGATAATCCATAATCCACGGTGTCCAAAGATTCTTAATCCCAGGATACGACAGCATGAATTTCAATAAATAATGAAGGTTTAAAAATCTATTTTCATAAACACTAAGAAAAAAATAAATAGCAGAAATTATTAATTGAAATTTGATAAATTATGGATTTAAAAAATTGAAATTGAAGTGGGATTGAGGTGGGATTAAAAAGAAAATGTAGAAAGTGTATAAAAGTGGATTAAGTTAATATTAATTCGTGTCCGGAAACCGGAACTAAATTGAATATCGGAATAATTGGAAATAGTGCTTCGGAGATCCCGAAACTAATTTTCAAATCTATTGGTCATCGAAAGTAAATCAATTCCCAGGGACTAATTGAAAGAGGTCCACCCCCGAGCCCTGTCTCGCAATACCCTTGTATCCTACTATATATATATATATCTATCAGCAAGGATAATTATAATTTTAAGTACGTTTATTTGCATTACGTAAATAGCAAAGCTTCCAAAAACAAAACACCAATAATTATTATTATTGTTACGTGCTTTCGACACTAATTTCAACTCTGATAAAACAAATGCATGTTAAATATGTTTCACGCATTACGCGATAACAACAGCAAATACAGCATCATTGCACAACGGTTCGAAATTAATTCATCATATATAAATAAATTGGTAATAATTTCATCAGAAAATTATAAAATATAAAAAATATATTATTTTTAACTAAACAGGTATTATAAACTAGTTCCGTTACAAAGGGTTGTTCGTAAGTCGAAAAATATACTTATCTTACTACACTTTATCATGGTTTTTACTTTTATATATGTCAAATTTCGTATTACTTATTGCATAAATTTGATTAAATAGATTAAAATAAATAAAATATTTACTTACAAATACTTTTCAATGTAGACATTACAATTATTTAATCTTCCAAAAATATTATATTTTATTAAAGAAATTATGAATTTTTGTTTGGACAGTTCATTTTTTATCACTATAAATCTCCTTGTAACAAGATAGAGCTTTTAGAATTTTGTTCGTAAGTTCGAGAGTTTGTAAGTTGGGAAATATCAATACTTTATTTATATAGTATTAAACATGAGCAAAAAATAACAAAAATTATAATATTTATTGCTACAAATAAAATTAAATCAAAATCAAACATTTTATTTTTCATTATTTAAAATTTACTTACATTTTATTTTTAAATTAACAGTTTCTTAATTGAATGAGTCATTTTGTTCATAACCTCGGTTTTCGAACATATTTTTTTCTCTTAAAGCTTGTTCGAAAACCGAATCAATAATAATAAGGTCTAATCCAATTTCGAATCTACCATGATTGCGTCATTAAACTTTTATACATAAAATCTTAACAAAAACAAATGGACGAAAATTTAAGTTCATGGAATTTACAATTCGAATATTTTTTATATAAATTTTCATTTATATGAATTGATATGACCAAAGTTTTTTCGAGAAATTTATATTAATTTTCCATTTATGCGTTATAATTCTATAGTGAATTGCATTAAACCGTTGAAAGATATGTTTACTGAAAGCATCCGGCTTTTAATTCTGCACTCGACAATTTATAATTATTAAAGGCAAATTCCCTATTTACGATGCTGTAATCGGCTTAACTGAGTCGCTCGTTAATTAAAACGTTTCTTATGATAATTTCGTAAAGTGCGGCTCGCGAGATTTCGCGTAAACAAATATTTGTAAAATCCCTTTATTGTTCGAATTATTCACGAATCACGGGCATTCGTTACTGCAGGTTTATTGAAACGATCATTATCTCCAATTAACGTTGCGATAACAATGATTACGTGTACATTAGCATCCGCGGATCAATTATTTAAATCGGCCGAAACGTAATTGATCATATAATCCGGTGTTGCAGCTCTGTGACTTACTGCACTACTATCAGAGGATTCTATGTATGTATGCGGGCTGCAATTGTCCAAAGGACGAGAGATGTCTCTCCATTTTACTATCCTTTATGTCGTGCACATAAACAGAATTTATATGATCCTGCTTTCCATAATTTTGCACCGCGATATTTCGACACGGAAAAGTCGTTTGTCTCTTATCTGCCAAAACTTGTTTAAGCTTGTTACAAGAGAAGCCTAAGGACTACACGCTCCTGCTCCAACAAGCTTAACTGTCACAATATTTCCAATTAAAATGTTTAATTAGTTAGCATTTGTAGTACTGCACCACTGCTTCTGGACTCCTTGATAATTTCATTAAGGAATATCGATTAATAAGAAGAAACCTTCCACTTAAATCCGATGATTTAATTATTATTACTACTAATTCCTTCTTCATCTCTAATATAATTAATTTACTACTTATTTCATCCAGATTAAAAAAAATATTTTATTGAATTTTTCCACGTAGTTTTACATACAAATTATTGAAATCATTCGACAATTTTCAATTTGTTAGTTATTTTTCTAATGATATTTAATTCTCACTTCAGTTGTTTAATATTACTTACAAAAAATATACAATTTTCAGTTAACAATTTTAATTAAATTCTTACTTCTTAATGTACTTTTTTCACATTTATTTACAATCATGTAAATTAAAATCGATCTATATTTTTCAATCAAATATTCAGTTTTAAGAAAAATTTAACTATTTTAATTAAGTTCCTGAAATTTAGCCACAAATTTCAATTATCAAATTATCGTGAAATTAGACTAAATTTATTATTTTTTTTTGTACAAAAAGAAATATAATAAAATATAATATTGAAGTTATGTATATTTATTAATGATTCAACATCAAAGGGCAATTTTAATTATAATTATTGAAAATGTATTTTTTTTTAACATAAATACAAAATAAATTGTATGACGGTTCATATTTTATCGAAATATTAAAATTAATTTCGTAATACATGCGAGATCGCTACGGGCTGTAATATATGTTTATATATAAAAAAAAATCAATTTTCAGAATAAATTTTCAGCGAACGCATTGTTCAACGCAGTGAGAGAGAGAGAAAAAAGTGGAGTTAGATTAAAAACGATTGGATGTTCAGTGAATTACGTGTGCGCTTCCGGTGGAGTAAAAGAGTGATTACATCAGAAAATTCAGCGTTAAATATAGTTGAATATTCGGGGAAAAAAGCATGTTCTAAATAGTTGTTGCTAATTAAATTATTCAGAATAAATTGAAATTTGATGATTTCACTTAGCTTCAATATTTTCAATTTCTTTTTCATAGAATTGTGAATGTCGCATGCTTTTTGTAATTTCTCTTTTGAAAAGTTAATTAATATTTATCGAAGTACGCTCAGTCCGCCGATCGGAAGTTCTTCAAACGGAAAGTTTAAATGATTAAAAGTTACTCGGGAACTCGATATAAATATTAAGTTGATGTGTATTCAGTTACTTGATTTTAACTTTTTTTTTAAGTATACAATTCAATTACATCTATATTGTTTTAACTACTAATTAAAAATAATTATTTAAACAATATTTATTATAAATATTATAGATTTTGTTTTAATAAATATCTTTGAAATAATGTATATACTTTTGTTAAAGTACACCAAAAAATAAAAATTTTATTTTACAAAAGTTTTTCACTAATTTTCAGTGTAAATTGAAACGTTTACTAAAAAAATACTTTTGATATATTCATTCTAAAATAGTTATAAATATCTGAACAATTTATACATTGGTATAATTTAAATTTAATTAAATAATTATTATTTATTTCTATTATTGCTGTATAATTCCATCAAATTATTTGTCGACTTTTTTTCAATAAAAACTATGTTTTTAAAGTGTGAATCATTTCTCACCTGACAGAAATGAAAAATGGCAATAAAAGTGATCGATTCGAAATGAATATCTCAGAAACAGGCGAAAGTTAATTTCGGGCCTGAGAATGGATTTCCGCTTTTGCTTTCCGTTTCCGTTTATTTTTTTTTTACTTCTATTTCTTTTCATCCTCTCTCAACTTTTTACCAGTGCGAGAAAAGGTATATTATACCTTTCTGTTGCAATATATGATAATGCAGTGATGGATTTAACGTCTTCTTCTCGCGCTCGGCCCTTTTCTCCCTAAACCGGCCTCGCTATCGTCCTGGCCCAGGAAATGAGTAATGTTCTCACTCTGTCAGTTGTAAAGTAATTTTGAGCGGTGGCCCAAATGGCCGATGATTTCTCACCGTCGAGAATTATATTTTTTTTTCTTCTACTTCTTTTTCTACGTCCATTGTGAGAGGCGAGTCCTGCAATTTCCTTACGGACAACCTTTCGACTGAATTTTGCAGGACTTTTCTATCACTGAGCGCCTTCAATTATTTAATGGCAAAATCCGTCTGATTTATCGACTGAAACATTTATTATTTCCATCAGACGTAACTGATGACTCTGTTTGTAAATGTCTTCTAATTCATTATTTTATTCTCAAGTAAAATGTAAAATTTAAATGCTTCTTAATTTCTTATTATTTTTAAATCGCGCGCGCTTTTAGGGTAATTTGCATAATGGATTGAATATTAATCAATCAAGTTAAAACGTATCAAGGCTTTAAAATTTTCAGTGTCTTGTGGAAAATCCGCGTTAATTAATTGTGCGAAACTTACCTAGTCGTAAGCGGATGGGATCAGAAACGTGCGGGGTCAAACTCTTGTGACTGGGGGAGAGTTTTCAAAAGTTTGTCAACTTTTTTCTGAAACTGTTTTCCGTGTAGAAATCGCTTTTGCAACCACTTTTTCAGGTTCCTGTGGTGATCCGGTTCGTCGGGTCGAGCTGCGTCCTGGTTACCACCACCTCCGATTGTTTTGGCTAAGCACGTGTGTCTCGACGTCTCGCGTAATTCTGCGTTACAGAATGGGGGGCGGTCGCATGCGATCGCTGTGGAAGCTCGCGAGGAACTGGCGCTGTCGTCGGCGCCGGTTCGCGGTGCGGTGCGGTGGGGACGACGCCTTCGTTATCCTGCCACCCCCGGTCACTATGACACATATCAAAAACTAGAAGGACATTGGTCCTTTCCTTCTTCAATTTATATTTTTTCTACTCATAACCTTTAACATTTCAGTGGATGCGCCGGGTTTCATCCACAGTACCGACATTTCCTCTCACATTTAGTCAATCACCACTAAAAAAACCGGAAGGACATTACTTCATTTTCTCCTTATTTTCAACCTTTTCCATTACTAATTGGTGTCTTCTCCTCCATACACTCCTTCCTCATCATTTACATCTTCCTTTTAACCTCCAAATCAAATTTTGTCCACTAATTCAAAATTTAACGTAGCTCAAAAAAAGGAAAACTAATTTCATCACATATCTCAATTCCATCAGTAAAAGCAATTCCTATCACTGTTCGAATCAATTTTACCGTATAAATATACCTAAAGACGCTGTAATTAATATTATATAAAAATGTTTTTTTTTTTATTGAAAATAATCAATTACTAAATAAGTTATTCGTTAATAGTTTCAATATTTATAATATACATAATTTCAATAAAATTAATTTTTTGTAAAATTTTCATAATTATAGAAATCAGAATTGTTTTTAGAATCAATAGAAATATATTTCTATGAATTATTATATTATTTTTTTTCACATTATTCGACACTTCACAATTTGCAATAAAAACTCCTGATGTTTTACTATAAATTATAACTGTTGGATTTGATTTATAAAAAAAAATGATGAAAATAATTCAAAATAAAATATTTGTTTCAATTAATTTTTTATATTTATTTTTAATAATAAAATTAAACTGCTGGTAATAATTTCATTTATCAAATGTCTTAGTTTTATATTATTCAGTAGTTTCTAA